TCCCTTCCTCCCTTCCTCCCTTCCTCCCTTCCTCCCTTCCTCCCTTCCTTCCTTCCTTCCTTCCTTCCTTCCTTCCTTCCTTCCTTCCTTCCTTCTTCCGTCCTGCCTGTGGAACCCACACCTTGTGCTGAAGTTTGGGGTGAAGTTAGGAACATCTGAAGATAAAAACATGTAAAGCTCTGTAGCCCCAAGAAGCTTACAGCTTAGTGGACAAGGCAGGAGAACAAAATGAGCATGATAAATAAGACATGCTGGCATGTGATATACTCTATGGAGGGAACTATAGCAGGAAGAAGAGCTTGGTCAGGGCAGGCCCCACAAGGAAGGTCTACTTGAATGAGGCCTAGAAGAGGACTAGGAGAGAGCCATGGGGATGTTTGGGTCTCAGGGAACCACAGTATTTCCTATGACCTATTGAGCATCTACTTCCATGTCGTGGAGCACTCCCATGCAGTGCAGGGCAAATCCAGAGCTAGGGGGTGATACAGGAGAATGGGTCTGCCTGAGAAGGGGCAAGAAAGGGGGTTTCCCAGAAGAGATACCTGACAACTTTACACCTGATACTGTCAGGCTAGACAGGCTGGAAGACGGTGGGGGCCCCAACTTAGGCGCATATATCCTGAATAACAGTTGGGAGCTGTGGATGGCCCTCTGCAGGCATGCAGGAGCCAGTGCCAATTTGCGGATGAATAACCAATACATGCCCAACTCATTCCAGCTTAGTAACTTGTGCTTTCAGGAAACCAGGGAGTCTTCCTGGAAGAGGTGACCTTGGAGCTAGATATGGCAGCAGAAGCAAATATCTTTAACAGAGATGGCCTTAGCCAAGGTAGCCTGATGCCCCAGGCCCTGGCACAGCACTATCAGGAAGTGCTTCTGATTGGGCAGCTCCACTGGCACCCAGAGTTCAGAGAAGGGGCAGAAGGCTCTGTCCCCCTCTTGAGGCTTTTCTGTCTCTCTGCTCGCCCATCCTGCCCCTGAGGAGGGGAGGCACGTGGCGCTGATGGATACGTCGAAGCTGGCTGTGCGGCCCAGCACTGTCACCATGCTCTCCGTCCGCACGCCAGAACCTGACACCCTGACCACTGAGGCATAAAAAACAGAGAATTGGAAGGCTCAGCCTGTCAGGCTGGGAGTGGCCCCCAGAGAGGCCTGAGCAGGAGTGTGTGTGTGTGTGTGTGTGTGTGTGTGTGTGTGTGCACGCTCTGCCTATGGTTGCCTGTGGAGGTGAGAGGAAGCTGACTGGGGGCTGGTCCTCAGTCTTGCCTCAGTGTTCCAGCTTTGCCTGGCCAAGTAATGTGGCTCTTGGTCTGGTCACTTCTGGAAGCTCCTGTCCTTTGGCCTTTGTAGGCCTTCTTGTAAGGATAGTGGAGTCATGCTTGGGCTGCAGGCGGCCTCTTAAGGCTGAATGATTTCTATCAGGTCCAGCAGGAAAGGATCTACAAGCTTCAGAAAATCCCTTGGGGGGTGGGGGGAGAGTGCCTGGCACACATAAGCCCCTGAGTTCAAACCCCAGTACTGCAAAAAACCAAGCAAACGAACAAAAAACCCAAACACTCAACACCCAGCTTTCTGCCCCTACTCCAGAGCCTCTACTAGACAAACTCTCTGCCAGGTACTAGGGGACCTAGACACCAATGGGCCCAAGCTTGCTCTCTGAGTCCACCTTCACCCTACTGCCACAGGGGAGAGAGGCTGGCCCTGCCTTCTTTGAGAGAAAGTCAGTGAAGGAGGAAGAGTAAGACTTGGTGCTTCCCCCTGATGGATGGGCAGTAAAGAGACTCTCCTAGGGCTGCTATATACCCAGGGAAGAGCCAGAGAGAGCACCCCATTCCTCTATCCACTTGGCCAGAGATAGCTATTTTCAGAGTCCCCCATAACTCACCCCATCTCTCCCTACTTTGGCATGTGTTCCTGCCTGTGTACACCTAGAGCCACTAACACCTGCCCCTTCTCCAAGGCCAAGGAAACTCTGGCCCACTGTTCTTTTGTGCGTCTGGCCCTTTGGCCTATCTCTTCATGTCAGCAGAATGCCACCTGCACCCCCCAGACAGAGGTCTTGGTTTGTGTCTCATCTTTCCAACTGGACTGAAGCCCCAGGCATGGCCACTCTAGGATTCACAGTGCCATAGGCTAGACTAGAATGGAAGTCATGGAAATGAATGAACCCACCTTAGGGTCCTTGGGCATCAGGTATACATGAGCATCAGTCTCTTCACCTGTAAGATGGGTCAGAAGTTGGCCCCTGGGAACACCTGGCATGTGGTAACTCCATGGTGTCCACATGGGAAGCTAATTTTCATCCTCAATAATGCAAAGGGTGTCAACCAGTTGAACACTTAATAGGAATGTAGCTCTGAAATGCCTTTATTGGTTACCAAAAATACCCGCGGGTCATGTAGAAGGCAAATGCAATAGGCACTCAAGCTGGTTGGGACTCAAGGTCTTTTGTGAGCTTGACTTGACATTGATGACTATTTCTCTTTCCACCCACCACCTGCAGGGAGCGAATTTTCTGGGAGTCCTTACAGCCACCCTCAGTATTCCTCGTACAACGACTCGTGGAGGTTCCCCAACCCGGGGCTGCTTGGTGAGTACTGGCAGAGGCCTGTGGGGCCTCTGAACCTATCAGCCATCCTGTCTGGACCACGTCATTGAGCCAACATCCTAAAGTCTAGTCACTGATACGGAGTGAGTAGCTTCATCTACACAGAATATGGGAAGGGTTGGGGAGCAATGATGGCAGTAAATGCCACTTGGACTTTTCTTATGTCCTCATCCCTCCCTGAGATGTTGTGGTGGATGAGGGAAAATGTGGAAGGGAAACAGAGAATGAAAAAGTGCTAAGGGAGGAAAAGGAAGGTAGGGAAACTGTCCATCCACAAGTAACTTGTACTTCCTAAGGATCCTTAAATATGGTGAGAACTCTGGATTGATTTGTCGCCGCTGCTGGAAAAGCCATCTTGCTAAGGGCTCTGAAGCTCAGTATTTGATTAGTGATGCCTGCTATAGACCCACCACTGCCACCTCCATTGGAAATTGGCTGCTCTGTGGTTGAAGATTGGCCAAGGCCACCAGCTGGTGCCCAATTCCAAGCTTCACGCTGGCAGATTGTCCATGGACGGTGCCAGTCTGATCTGTGAACATTATCAATGTTTTTAGGGCCCTTTTCCCAAAGACAAAACAAAGGATAAAACCAGCCCTCAATAAGTCTAAAAAGAAACTTCTGTTTTGTTGACATGAACTTATGTAAAACTAGCTGTCAGTCACCAGCTAAAAGAGATTGAAGCAGAGGTCAGAGTTACAGATGTCACTCACTACCTGAGGGGTGGAACCAGCCAATCATCTGAGGTTTTTGCTGCTTAAGTTAATGATGGGGCTGGATTCACAGCCCCAGGGTCGGGCTTGGGCTGCATGCCTCATGTGAGGAAGACACAGGCTCTGCATAGGCTGCAGGGGTGGGGGAGCCTCATGCAGGTGTGTCTATACTGGGAGGTGCTCAAGGACTTTCAGGAGACCAGAGTGTGGGAGGAAGAAGAGGAATCAAAACTCAATCCCTTTGTCTACATGACCATTTTCCAGTTGTACCAAGCACTGGGCTAAGCCTTTCATGTGAGTTAGCTCATTTTACAGATTAGAAGAGTGAAGATTATGCAGATTATACCAATGAGGAGAATGAAGCTCAGAAGAGTTCATTAATTCACCCAAGGTTACACAGCATAGAAATGGCAGAATGAGGCCTCCTTCTGATCCCAGACCCTGTATTCATACAAGCATGTGAGATGGTTCTTACTTTCCTTGGCTGACTCAGTTTAACAGAACAGAATTTACTTGGGTGGTGTAAGCACAAAACAGATTTATAAGGGAGATTGGGGTTTCCCAGAATCTACCAAAAGACTAAACAGATAGATATGGGACAACTCAGGGCTTGCCAATAAATGGAGTCCTTAGGTTTCTTCCTCCTGTTGCTTATTTCTTAATCAAGGTCAGACACCAGAGAATGGAATTGGTAGCAACCACAAAACATGCCTAAGCATAACTGCAGGGGAAGCTGGGACGAGGCAACACTGGCTGTCCCTACCCACCAGAACTTCCAGCCACAAGTACGAGGGATGGCCCAGAGCTGCCCAAGGTCACAACCTAAGGAACTGAAGGCAGGCTGTTAGCCAGTCATCTCAGCTGACTCAGGTGTAAAAGATCTGCATCCTGAACCTGCAGTGATCCCACTTGCCTGAAAATGAGGAGAGCCAGGCTCACCTAACCAGAGCCTTGCAAATAGCTTTAGGCCCATTTGCATTTACCAGGCTGCCCTCCCCTCTTCTGGGGTTGGAAAGTGAATCCTACAAGATTCAGTCCGGGGAAAGCTAGATTGTTGATCTCTATGACCAGAGGGAAGTTTGCAGGGGTCCTGGATCCTTTCCAGTGGTCTGTGGTGCTCCCACACACTCAGGAAGAGCTGTGTGCATGGGTGTGTGTATGCACACAACACAGACCCATCACTTAGCCTGCCCATCACTGGCTCCCACTCCCACAGCCCGGCACAGGCTACCTACACCTCACCCCCACCAGCCTGGTTGAGAGCTCCTTCCCTAATATGGCAAAACCTGGCAATGCCATCCAGTGCAGGACAAGGATACTGGCCTCTGGACAACTTCCCTCCCCAGCCAGGATGTCTGTCACTCGGGGTCCCCTTCTGGCCAGGCCCCCAGCCTGGCAATAGAGCTGCAGAGGCAGGAGGGGCAGACAGGGCTGGTGGATTGAGAGGGCGATGCCGGTCAATTAGGATTAGAATGGGAACGACTGTGGCCGCCTTAAAGGGATTAGAGAGGGAGCCAGCCGGGAATGACTGTGTCAAGCAGTAAATTGATGATAATGTGAATTAGAGAGGAAAAATGACAGAAGAAAGGACAAGTTTATTTTATCTGGAAGCCTAATGGGCACCAGAAAGACAGAGTGCTTTGTGAGGTGATGTTTTCATTTTTCACGCTAAATACAAACTCTCAGCAGAGGCCACTGGTTGGATTGGCCAAGATCAGGCTCTACGATTGGGGAGCAGGAGCTGAGGGTAAGAGGTAGCTGGGGTGGGGGGCTGGGAGAGCCTGCCAGGGAGCCTCTGGGAGACACTCCATCCACTCCCTGTCTCTTCCAGGTCCCTTGGTGGGCCTGGCCTTGTCCTGCAGGGGTGTCCCCCTACCCATGCGCTTCTCTCCTGGGCCCATTCTCATGTGTGATGTGGGGCTGGTGCTGCAGCTACTCTGTGAGTGACTATCCCCAGGCTGTTCCCTGGCACTAAGAAAGAGAAAGACTCTTGCTGAGGAGGTGACCATGAGAGCAGCAGTCAACTTGGTCTTGGGGAAATCTTAGGCACAGTATAGCACAGTGAGGCATGGAGGGTACCACCATCACTGCTGCCTGAGGCCACACTGCCCTCCAGAGGGGGATGGGGGGGCAAAAGGGTATCTGCTAAAGGGTGAGTTTGGAGGGAAGGCTGTGCCTGCTGAGAGCCTCTATCCACCTCATCTCACACTATCTACCTTCTCTTTGGATCATTTTTTATAAAATAGAGACCATAATCGTTCCTACTTGATAGGATTGTTGTGGGAATTAAAAGAGCTCATGGATAGAAAAGAGGCCATTTCTAAAGTATTTTCATATCCTCTCACAAACACTCCAATGCGATCCCTTTTGCAGATGGAAAAACTAAGGCTCAGGCAAGTAATGTCACTTATTCAAGGTGTCACAGCCAAGAAGTGGTAAGGCCTGACTGACACCTCCCCCGCCACCACACACCCTATCTCAGTCTCAGACACTTGTGAGAACCACAAATATTGGTTTGGATGGGGGTGAGATTTCTGAATAATCTGGAATCACCTCAATTGAGGAAGGAAGCTTCTAGTCTCTGCAAACAAGTGGTGTATGACTGGCAGGTCAGGTCCCAGCTGCTGCCTAAAATGAACATGTTCTACATAGGACCAGTAGTAAATATTTTAGATTTTGTGGATCACAGAATTGTCTGCATGACAATTTCTTAGCTCTGCCACATTAGCAGGGACATGGCCACAGACGACATAACAGAAAGGGTCAAGGCCATGTCCAGTGGGTCATTTACAGAAGTAAGCAGATGAGATGGAAAGATTAGATCATCCAGCTCTAGGTGGCAAAGAGCCCTGAAACATTGAGGGCAGGTAGCAGCCCTGGGTTGGACTTGCATTTCAGGAAACAGGTTGGGACAGAGATGTTGATGAGAAGAGACAGTAGCCTGAACTGGGTGGGGGGGTGGAAGGGGCAGAAGGGGGGACAGAGTACCCCAGGTCCAACATCAGTACCTTCTCTTATTTCTTCCAGGTTCCCCCTACTATTACAGTGCTGCTGCCCGAGGAGCTGCCCCACCTGCGGCCGCCACTGCCTATGACCGTCACTGACCACTGGAGCCAGGCAGGCGCCAAGCACTTATGACACATATCACTGAGGGAGATAGCTTCCCACCTCCCACCCCAACAGTGAGGGGGGCCCCACAAGACCATACACAAGTACCCCTGCCCTGCATATCTGAACTCTCTCCCCTTCCCTGCCAGGGACTTGGGCTCCATGGTAAAGCTGTTGGATTTCTGGACCCTTGTCCATTTCAAGAGTCGATTGATCGGCTTCTCTAAATGGCCACAGGGTCTCCACAAACCAACAGTCTCTTCTGTAGACCACTGAGCCCAGCCCAGCCTGCCAGTCCCCCAGCTATCTGACCAACTGTTCATCTCAGTACTACAAGCCTGGGAAGGAAAGCTAGCTTCTGTTGCTTCAACAACACCTATGTAAATACCTTCTTGCTTCTCTGTGGGGCTGAGGGTCCCACTGAGCAGACCGCCCGCCCCATGATGCATCCTGATCCTGTACTTATTGTGTGTCACAGGACAGCTTCAACCTGTGTACAGATGCCCGCTCTGCCCTGGTGTTCCTGTCAGGTGAGCTTGTAAGCTGTCCTTGAGACTGAGGACCACAGCCTCCTGCTCACCCCTACTTCTGTAATGCCTAGGAGACTCATTGGGCTACAAGCTTCCCCAGAGATTTCCTCCACCCAGAAGAATATACCTAGAGGAGATGCCCAGGCTTCCAGACTCCATTTCCCTGGGGCTACTGCAGCATGAGCTGCTCTTTTCCAGACTGAAGGACTCAAAGAGAACTATCTGAAAGGTTCTCTGCTGTCATTCAAAAATAAGAGGTCATCCAAGTGCTGACGGCATCATGGACTTTGACTGTCAGGCCGGGTGGGATTGGGAGTTCATCTGATCCAGCCAAGGAGGGGTCTGACGCTCTCCCAACCTCCCCAGCCCCAGGAGCCACTGAACTGAACTGGAATGGTTTCTGGAGCATGCGCAGGCTCGAATCACTTTGGATACCCATCATGGATACTTCACCAACCCCACAGGACCCCAGCAAGTGGATTCTGGGCAAGCCTGTTGCAGTGATACAGACAGTGATGACAAAAAGGACTTTCCCCTGCACCAAGGACCACAGCTTCCTACAGGCATCAGCCAGGGCTCCTGAGCTGCTTCTTGGGCCAGCCTTCCCAGTTCCCACGGAGCTGAGTGTGTAGCTGGGTGTGGGGGTGCTGGGCCTGGGGTGGTGTCGGCGGCGGGGGGGAGCACCTCACCTCACACAGTACAGGGCTACCCGTTGGTACAAGGGACCAAGAGGGTCACTGTGTGTGACTCTGGCCAGAGGAAGCCACCAGGGAAGATATGGGTGACAGAGTAAGGCCTCATAGGGGTATGTCATGACAAGCCGTGAGGAACCGGTATATGACCTGGGACAGGTTTTGACATGGGAGTGCCAGGCACCCCTATCTTTCCACCTCAGGTCTCTGTTCCTTGTGCAGATTCTCTTGCCAACTTTATCCAAACCCCTGGAATGACAGCAATGAGAATGGGCTCAGTTATCTCTGTGTGACAATGTCCCTGGTGTCTATTCAGAGAATCAGGGTAGAGAGAGGCTGGCTATTGGATCATCAGACCTGTCAGGTCTTATCTTGGCCACACCTCTGCTTTACTGTAGAACCTCAGACTGGGTCCTTTAGCTTTCTGAGCCTTCACCGCCTTGGTAGTGCAGGGTCACCTAACAACTGTTTCCCTTCTTCCTTACTCCCAGGGCGCTGGGGCTGTAGCAGACTGGTCCAGGGCAAGTCCTTTATTTCTAAGTAAGCAACTGTTAATGTTAAGATCAAATGGGAAGCAAGATCCCCTGAGGATGGGAACTAGAAGAACCTTCAAAAGCCCCAGGTCAGCCCCCCTAGGAACACTGAGGCCTGGCTTGGAGAAGCCTTGTAGGGATACAGAACAGACCTCCTCTGGCCACCCCCAAATATTTGTCCCTCAGAATGATTATGAAGCGGGAGGATAGAAGAGGAAATGGAGGCTCAGCAAAGTGGAGTCTCCACAGTGACTGGCAGAGGTGGGAGTTGGAACTTGGCCCCCTATCTCGCAACACATGCTGATCCCTGTCACCCCATCTACCTACATCCTTTCCCTAGAGGAGAAATTGACAGAGAGGACACAGGAGATGGTTCCAGGCCTGATGCTCCAGCCTGGGTATCTGGGCTATTAGAACTTCTGGGGAATCTTCGCCAGCAGTGGTGTGGCCCAGTGAGCTCAGGGCAGGCACACCACCCCAGGAAACTGCTGAGCAAAGAAGGGAGGTAGCTGGGGCCAGTGCCCACCTCCAAAGCTGGGCTGAACTGTCACCAGCTTCTACCTACCCACTGAGATAGACGAAGGTGCATTACCTGGCTCTTCCTTCCTTCCTCTTCCCTCTAACAGGACATAGTAGGGTTGGGGGTCTTCAGCACAAGCCTCTTGGGCCCCAGACCCTGCCTCTCATCCCTTAGGATGGCACACACCTGCATCTTTGGAGGCTTCAGGCCCCAAACCAGCAGCCTAAGGCGCACACTACCCTTCTTCTGCAACGTCCACCTGGCCCTACCCAGCCCTAACTCTACCCTTCCTCAGTCTTGCCCCTTGCTGAGCTCCTTTTATGCCTTTCCCCTCTCTCCTCAATCTTGAACTCAGATTGGATTTGTATTTATTAGACAACCACATGGTTCCTGGGCTCCAGGCAGAAGCACAAGAGCACACAGATGCACGTGGAGTTCTCGCACATGCACATCTACTCTCACTGACTCAGCTACCCAGCTGCCCAGCACAGCTGCCTGGGGCTTTGCTGAGGAGAGTTCCAAAGGACATATGCTGTTGAATAGATGCCAGAGAATTCTTGAACAGACAATACAAGTCTGAGGCTTCACCAGCATCGTGGCGGGAGATCTGGGGTATTCCTCCACAGGTCTTCAGCCCCAGAGTCCAGCTCAGACTTTTTGACAAAGGACATGTTCATACCATACTCTAGCTCCAACCTGGAAAAAAAAAAGTGGATGCTTTATCAAACCCATGATCTGTTTCCTTATTAATGGAAATGCCCTGGTTAGAGTACACACTTTAGTAACAGATGTTGGTACAGTGCAATCCTCAACTATCCTGTGGGGCAAAGATCATGATGCTCCTTTTACAGATGGGCAAATTCATATTTAGGGGCTCACTAGGTCAGCTAGAGATGAAATCTAAGATCCCCAGGCTCCACTCCACCCCCTTAGAGCTGCACTCCTGTCTTGGAAATTTATGGCTTGGAGACACCCATTCCTTAGTCTTCCAGGAAACCCCCAGCCTCACAATGAGGAAAGAAAGAACAGAGGCTGGAAGCTGGCCCGATAGAAGGGCCTGGAGTGGACTGCCTTGCTGATCCTGAACTATACCTTTGCTCCAATTCACACCATGGCTTCTAAGATTTCATCCGCAGTCCATCCCTGCCTTACTCCAAGGCTCAGTGGAGGGTAAAGCTTGTCCAAGTCCATACCATAGCCTTCCCAGAACCTGGACATGGGCCAGCTCTGACTCTCACAAAATACAGGTGGCAGTGTCACCTTCTCTTTTTTCTGCCCTTTGTGCTTTGGTACTGACCATGACAATAGGCAGGACTGCTCAGACCTGGGATGCCCAACGACCCCAAAACCACAGATCACAGCCTCAAGGGCCCCAAACTAACTGCTTTCTTGGCCAGCAGGTGATGTGACCTCACCCTCTGGGCCCAAAACATCCAATGTGTCCCTGCCCCCACTGAGTGGCATCCAAGTGTGAACACTTGGAAAACACTAACAGCCAAGAGAAAACGATATGTAAGAGCCAAATCTGACCCACGGGCCACCAGCCTGTGACCTTCTCCCCTTAATCTCTGCAGACTGTGTCTTTCTGCCTCACTTCCTTTGTTCTTCAGTGTACATTTGGACGGGATGGGAACACAGGGGAGCGATGGGCTCCCACGTGTCCACGAAGTCAGTGGCAGATACCGGCAAACCCAGGCTTCATGCGGGACTCTTGAAAAGTAGTTGGGTTTCAGAAGTATGTGGGGGTGCAACAGCATTTGTAATGGGCTGTGAGGAGCTATGCAGAGAAGCCCTCAATGTGGTCACTGGGTACTGAGGGGTGAAATCCTTTTTTAAGGAGTCACAGCCCAGAGTGCCTGCCCTGGCTTGGGCAGCCTGGGCTCCCGCCACCTCCTTGTGGATGACATTTCAGCTAGAATTTAGCGCCAAACATGAGGAGCAAATCTTAAAGACAAACACAACCACCAAATACCCGGAAATAGGCTGTATCTGAGATACGCCTTCTTGGGAGGGCAGAGAAAAGTCCAGGTACCTGGTTAGGAGAGGCCTGGGCTAGCATGGACTTACCCTATAAGATTCTGGGCTAGATCTCTTCAGCAGTGGCCCTGGCCTTGTCACCCATTTGGGTGGGTTCCATGAGGCTGTTTTTCATGCATGCACACCGGTGTTTCCGGTGGATTGATTCCTTTCATTCATTTGGCTTTGGAGAGGTTCAAGGCAAGGTAACAAAAAGCATGATTGGAAAGTTGGACATTTTCACCAGGACTTCTTGCCTGAAGTCTGCCCCACCTCCTGCTGGCCCCTTCAGCCCAGTCCCCCGTTGTCCCTGGGCTTTGGGATTCCCCTTTGCATATTCGTGGGGGAGTCGCTGTTTAGCTGTACCTTCTCAGCTGTCAACTTAAGCTGTTTCTCCAGTGACTGCCAGATGCAGTCCCTTTCCTGTGCTCCTGCTGAGGCTACCTACAGCTTCCCTAAAGAGGGCTGTTGGCTGAGAGCAAGGCTCTTTTTATTCTCTGGTAACTCCTTGGCACTGAGGATGCCCTCAGCCTCGAAGGGGACCTCAGAATCCTGCCACTGCCATTTCTATCCAGGAGTTTCTCTGAGCTCATACAAATCATGGGTTAACACAGCCACTCTTTGGTAGGACCAGATATCTGTTCTTCATGTTTTAGACCCCTGAGCAGCAGGAAGAGGAAAAAACAGTCACTTCTGTCCTGAGGGAATCTCAGTGCATCGCCCAGTAGAGTCAGGCTCAAGTTGTGCACTTATTTGACCCGTGGCAGGAGACAGAGGGCAGGTAGCTGCCCTTTTGCTCTGGGCAGCTGTGTGTGTGTGTGTATGTGTGTGTGTATATGTGTGTGTGTGTATGTGTGTGTGTGTGTGTGTGTGTGAGAGAGAGAGAGAGAGAGAGAGAGAGCAGGTGAAAGAGTGGAAGGGTACGGCAGTTTGGTGTCACCTCTCTAACTCTAGAACCTAGCTAGGGAAGGCCATGCTTTGGTCTCACCCACCACACCCCAGATCCACTGACCCTGTGGGTACAGTGCTGTACCGCCCTTGTCCCCTAAACTCACCATGCTTGTGGCCACGTCCTTTATCTTCTCCAAAAGCACCACCATTAAAAACAAATGATTTTGGATGATGGATTTTTGATTTACAAATGGTGCATTTCCCTTGGAGTGGAACAGAAAGGAAAGCATTTAATGGCTCCCTTATTTTCAAGCATGAATACATTTTAATGAAACTATTTTATCGTATGTGAGGAAATGAAGAGTTGAACATTCCAACCAATCAATAGGCAATTAATTGCTATAGAGCTACAAAGAAAATAAATAAATCCGGAGTCTTATTTTAAACATTTTACAAACTTCAGAGCCTTGGAGTCTGGCTTCCCCCTCCATGCCATGTGAGCAGGAGCGTGCTCTTGGTCTCACACGCACACGCACACACACACACACACACACACATGCACACATACACACCCTTGATGCTAGGATGTACTTGAAACTCAGAGAGAGCATTGAGTCTTCCTATGCCAATTCTTGCTTGTTCTCCTTGCCTTTCCTTAGTCACAGAGGTGAGTAGACTGGAAAGCAGCCTGTCCAGGGGGTTCACGAAGGAACAGACCCATGTCCTGCCCCTAAGCCACTGGTAGTGGGCTGTGAGGGCCTGGTATTGCCAGCGCCCTACTTCTGGAACCCGGGGCAGAGCCTCCCACTTGCCCTGGTTTTCCACGCTCTAGTGGCCTTTAGACACGAGTGTTTCTAGAAATGCAGATTATCTTGGAAATAGAGCTCTCTGCCAGGAAGACACATGGATTTTGCTTTTCATTCATTGAGACAGTTAACTTTGTCTTAGGATCTGAACTTCCAGCATCAAAGAAATACATATCTACT